AATAAATGAAACATTTTAATAAAAAATATCATTAAAAAAAAGGAAAAGAAAGCAGGCTGAGCAAGCCATGAGGAGCAAGCCAGTAAGCAGCACCCCTCCATGGCCTCTGCATCAGCTCCTGCCTCCAGGGTCCTGCCTTGTTTGAGTCCCTGTCTTGACTTTCTTCAGTGATGAACAGTGCTGTGGAAGAATAAGGCAAATAAACCCTTTCCTCCCCAGCTTGCTTTTTGATCATAGTATTTCGTCACAGGAATAGAAACCCTGACTGAGTCAAGGTCAGAGGACAATCTTAGGACAGAGGCTCTTGATTGCTGCTTTGTATACCAGGCTAGCTCATTCCTGACTCTACTTACCACCTCATCATAGCAGTGCTGGAATTGCAGAAGCTAACTACCCTGCCTGGTTTATTTGGGTTCTGGGGAGTCACACTCAGGTCCTAATACTTGCACAGCATGTGCTTTATCCATTGAAACTTCTTACCAGTTCCATTACACTCTTTTTAATCTGCCCATGTAGTTAAAGTTTTTATTCATATTATTATTGATAGTCTAATATTGTAACCTGTTGCTTCTGAAGAGTAGTCACTCTTTCTCCTATGACCCACAGCTGTGACCCTTTAATAATTAGGGAATGATTTGTTATTCTACAGCATCACATTTACTTGAGGACTATCAAAAAATTTAAAGATCATGCCCAATGTTATCTGATCTATTACCATCTAAAAATAAATTCTTTTTATCAGCCAAAACCACTTTTAGGAATTGACAGCCTAGGAAGACCAATAAAATATATGAAAGAGACAAGGGAAGGGTGAAAAAGGTGAAGGTCATGAGTATCCAGGTGTGTGCTGCCATGATGTGTGGGCAGGAGCAGTAGTGTTGCCTTGCTCATGAGCACTGATGGATGAATGTTTTCGGCAAGCAAAGGCTATCATTAGTGAATACAAACTCCTACACACACATTGCTCTAGTAAAGGCAAATTAATCTGCATCATCCTGGTGCTCATTTTGACAAAACAGTGATGGGATACCCTCTCTGGAACATAGTATTATAATTGAGGGTGTTAGGGAAAATTTGGCAGGCCAAAAAAGCATGCTAGAGTAAAAAATAAAGCTTTGTTTCAGATTTCCAGAACATTTACTTACCAGAAATTATTCATGGCGTGAGCCTGAAGGATGGATGAGGCTTCATTAGAGGAAGCTGGAGCAAAAGTTGAGCTCCCTTCGGGAGGGATAAATCAGTGTCCCTCATCCTGATGAGCAGGCACTTAATTCTGTGCACCTGTCAGATGCTCCACATAGCATTGACTCCAGGGGTCCACAGTGGTGGCGAGTTACAGGCCTGGTGTTCAATTTCCTGCCGATGCTTCTGAGCAACAGGTAAAACCATCAGCTGTGATTGGTGGCTATGGCACATGGAAACACAGTTTTTATTTAAGTTCTGCCCTTTGGGAGGAAAATCTGTATGTTGAAGAATAAAATTACCTCAGTGAAAATAGGAAAATGGAATGCCAAATGACTTCTCATTGTCCACACTACAAAATGTTGCCAAGCAACAATATTCCTAAAGCAAAGCTGTTAAGCATGATGAACTTGGAATCTACAAAATTCTTTTGAAATTTAGACACTGAAATGAGTCCAAAGCCGAGAAGATGAATAGCTGCTGTTTTTAATATTGTCCATAATGTTGTAACTATATTATTTAAAAATGTTCTAATTAACTATCTGTTGTTCTCACCATGTGGAATGTGGTTGACAGACAAAGACATTGAGATAGTAGTCATTTCATTGCTGGTGTCCTTCACTGCTCTAGGTGGACCATCATCTTCCCTCCTTCTAAAAGACTCCCTATAACATTTTTTTCCAAGGCAGGTCTGCTGGTGATACATTAAAAACACTGCATCTCATTGAAAAGTCTTCTCTGCTAAAAGATACCTTTGCTGGGTATAGAATGCTAGCACGACAGTATTCTTTTCAGGTATTTTAAAGACGTTGCTCTGTTGTTTTGTGGGCTGCCTTATATCTGATGTATATATCCTATATAAATAAAGAAGTCATTTCCATCTTCACGCTTTTAGAGGTAATGCGCTAATTTTTTTTCCTGGTGCATGATTTTAGAATTTTCTCAACATGTTTTGAGCAGTTTTGATTATTTAGTGTTTTTTTTTTCCATGTGCTCAGGTATTTCCTGAAAAAAAAATTGTCATACTTCTTCAGAGAGTCTGAATACTCGATTTAGGCTATTTAAAATCCCACCTTGTAGGCGTGACAGTTGCCAAAGTCTCAATGGGGGTTGGAACTTCCAGATCAAAGCTGGAATGGCTACCCACTACACAGGAACATGTCCAGAGGCTGGCGGGCCAGCGAGATTGTTTTCTCAAGCAAGGTGGGAGGCAATGACTGCCTCCAGTCCACACATGTGCTGGGGTGCACAGACACTCATCAGACATACAAATACGAAGATAAAAAGAAAATGATAAAAATAAACACATTTTTTTTTTAAAAAAAAGTAAATTAAGGAGCATCCTTCTGTAATGAATGTTTTGGCCAGGCCTCTTTGTAAAGGAATTATTTACGATGCACAAAGAAGGATGTGATAGATGTTGGAAAGACTTTGAGAAGATGCTAGAATGGATTCATCTTGGAGTGTAAGGCAGCGATAGGCGAGTTCTCATCAGCCAGCAATGCCTCTGGCTACAACGTGAACTGTAAATTTGAAAGTAGGGCGACAGTGAGTGCAGCTGGACCACACAGAAGCTATGGCAGTGTCTTTTGTAGGCATGGCAACAGCGATCTGGAAGTGTCTGTCCCAGCTGTCTACCTTGCTGTTGTAGCATGACAGAAGCCATAGACAAGACAGGAACTCACTAGTATGATAGTTCCCATCAAAGTTCAGACGCAGGTGGAGTAGTTTGCTGATCTTTGAGTTGGATTAGAAAGGTGAATGGATGTTTTCAATATATTTGGGAAGTGTATTTAGTAAGCTACATGTTGGATGTTGGGACTGGAAGGAGAGGAGAGCATGATCTCTAGGCCTCCAGCTAGAGTCAGGAACAGGGAGTGCCTAAGTGAGTGAGACATCTCAAATGCATTAATCTGAAATAGGAAATGCAGAGTTCCAGCATTTTCTCTCCTCTTTGATCTATATGAGAAAACATTATAAAATACTTTTATTCTTTTATATATACCTGTTACACTAAAAATTGTCAAAAACTAATGAATAATAGAATTGATCAATTCTCTGCTGATAGGAAGATTTATATATATGAGAAAAAATATATTTCTGATATATATGAATAATTGAATAAATGTATATATGAGAAAATACACTCATTTATATGTATATGCATATGAGGGAGAGAGAAGATATTACGTATAAACTCATTATGTATGGAAAGATGACCTTGAATGTCTGATTTTCCTGCCCCCACCTCCTAGGTACTGAGATTATAGACATGTGCCACCACATCTGGTTTATACAATGTTTGGGAGTCACCCCAGGACTTCATCTAAGCAAGCCCTGAGTCACATCCCCAGCACAGAAAAAAAAATATTTTAAAAACATATGGCTCAGTGGGTAAATCACTTATTATTTACCCACTCCTCCTATGTGAGGAGCAGGGTTTGGATCAAAAGTTTTGTAAAAGGTGTGGCAGCCATGTATCCCACACAAGGGAGGTAGAGAAGAGATCCCCAGGAAGCTGGCTAGCCAGACTAGCTAAAACATTGATCTCTGGGTTCAGTGAGAAGCTCTGCCTCCACACATATGGTGGAGGGATGAAGGATGACACCTCATATTAACCTTAGGCCTCCACATAAATACCAGAGCACGCATGGCCCATGTGCACTCACACACATATACACAAACATGCATACATATATGTATATGACATAGTCATATATATGTATATACATATATGTTTTTAAAAATTAAAGAAAAATGTAGCTTCTCAAGCTTCTATTGGCTCATTGGCAGTGTGTCAGTATCCTCATTTTTTTTCCTCCAAAAGGAATACTCCTGACCTTTGCCCCAATGGCTACCAATATTGGGATTACTAGAGAACATAGAGGTTAGAAAAAATTTAATGCAGATTGTCGTCAGTGGTACTGGACGTGGAAGTGTAGGTGCAGTTGAGTATGTCTGCTTTCTGTAATCCCATAGGACTTGCCCCGCCCCCACTGCCTGAGCTGAAGAAGCTCTGCTTCAATGGTTTCCTTACCATTAGTGTGCCAACAGGATTATGCTATTTTGGCTGTTGTGGGATCTTTTTGTACACTGTGAAGATGTGTCTTTGCCAAGGTGCCTTCTGATTGATTTAATAAAGAGCTGAATGGCCAAAAGCAGGGCAGGAAAGGATAGGCAGGATTTCTAGGGAGAGAGATGACCTCAGGGTTAGAATCTAGGCATGTAGGAGAAGCCAGCAAGACACGGAGCAAGTTGGACGTACAGAATGCAGGAGAGGTGAAAAGCCACACGGCAGAATATGGACTAATAGAAACAGGTTAATTTAAGTTATAAGAGCTAGTTGGGAACAAGCCTAAGTAAGCTAAGGCCAAGCTTTCATGATTAATAAGTCTCTGTGTCATTACTTGGGGGTGTCTATTAGTCTATGTTCTGCCTGTTTCTATTAATCTATGTTCTGCCTCTTTCTATTAATCTATGTTCTGCTTGTTTCTATTAATCTACCTTCTGCTATGTGGCTTATCACCTGTCCTCCATTCTGTACATTTGACTTACTCAGTGTATCATTGGCTTCTCCTGCTCCTGCATGCCTAGATTCTAACCCTGAGTTCCTCTTTCTCTCTGGAAATCCCACCTATCCTCTTCTGCCCTGCTATTGGCCAGTCAGCTCTTTATTAAACCAATCAGAAGGTGCCTTGGCAAAGACACACCTTCACAGTGTACAAAAAGTTTATCCCACAACATTTGGCTTTATTTGTACATCGATGAATTTAGGGTTTCCTGTCTGATGAATTCTTCATGAACCATTGGTTTTACAGGCTTTGCTGTCAGTACATGATACTGTGGCTCAAAAGAGTTACGATCCTGTATTGCCTCCTATGCCTGAAGATATCGATGATGAGGAAGACTCTGTGAAAATAATACGCCTGGTCAAGAACAGAGAGCCCCTGGTGAGACTGGTCTACATCTGCCTTCAGCTTCAAAGAGGTCTCATGGGGCGCTGAAGGAGATGGGCTAACAGAACTCACACTTGTCTTTGAGATACATTGCTTCTGGGTCCTGACACCTTAAAACAAATGGGACATTTACATCCAGAGAATATGGCTTAGAACAACTAACAAAACTCCAAGTAAAATAACAGCATCCTATTGCTTTTTAATAGGAATAGCCTTGAAAGTATAGCCTACTAACATCTGTAAGCGAAAGTTTAACATGAAGCCAGGTATGGCCAGTTGGAAATTAAATGATGCAGTTGAAAAATAGTGCTTTAGGCTGTTCCGGAAAGCTGATTTATTTTTGAATAATGAAGAGAAATTAACCTTGAACCTAACATTTCACAATATAAATAGAACTGTTTGTTTTGGCACTGGAATTTCTGTGGTGTTGGACCACATCAAGGGACCTGGGACTGGGGGAATATTGCCCCATTTACAACCAAGGAAGTCAGGTCCTAATCCTTAGAACCCTGGGTTGACTTGCCATGATTCTGCTATGATCTCAGGTAGAAACACATCCTAGGTTACCCAAAGGGATATTTTGCTTGTGTGTATGTGTGTATATATGTATGTATGTATGTGTGTATGTGTGTATATATGTATGTATGTGTGTATATATGTATGTATGTGTGTGTATAGATATGTATGTATGTGTGTATGTGTGTATATATGTATGTATGTGTATATATATGTGTGTATGTATGTGTGTATATAGGTATGTATGTATGTGTGTATGTGTGTATATATGTATGTGTGTATATAGGTATGTATGTATGTGTGTATATATGTATATATGTATGTGTGTATATATGTATGTATGTATGTATGTGCACCACATCCGCACTTGGCACATTGATCCCCTGGGACTGGAGGTACTGCTGGTTGTGAACTGCCATGTGGGTGCTGGGATTTGAGCCTGGGTCCTCTGGAATAGTAGCCCGTGCTCTTAACCCCTAAACCATCTATCTAGCCTCCATCATGGGATATTATACAGATAAAATGAAATGAGAAAGTATTCCAAAAGTAAAGCAATACAAGGTAGATTGTTTATAGAAAAAAAATGTTTTGCATGAATTGGAAGATAGAAGATTTCACCAGTCTTTAAATTGCACTGAAATGCTCAGGTGCTATGTAGCCTGAATTTTGGTTCATTGTAAGGAACGTCCGAAAGACAGTCGACATGTCTGTCCTCCTGCCTTGTTCCTTTCTCTTTGTAGTAGTTTCTGTGTTTTCCAGATAAGTTATTTTACATCTCTGTCTTACCGCACAGTTTGAAAATCTGCCCATAAATGCTTTTTTTCCTCTCTCCCCCTTTTTTGCCTTGAAAGGGTGCTACGATTAAGAAGGATGAGCAGACGGGGGCAATCATCGTGGCCCGGATCATGCGGGGAGGGGCTGCAGACAGAAGTGGTGAGAGCCCCTTATTCATTGAATAAGGACAACTTGTGTTGTGTTCTGTGAGTAACTCAGTGCTCACAGTGTTTGATGCAATACAGCAGAACCAGGAACACGACCGTTTTCACTGTGTCGAAATGTGGACACCGTACAAAGAAATGACAGCTGAATCCCCCTCTGTGGTCTTAGCTTACACAGGCTTCCGAAGACACCTGATTTCCCCCCACAGTACTGAGTGTCAGACCTATATCCTTGGCTGTGCTAGTCAAGTGTTAGACCACAGAGATACTGCCCAGCCTGCAAAGTTATGTTATGACCCATTTTATTGTTTCTGATGTGGAAAATACATGCTACTGAGAGCATGCAATTTTAAAGATAAATTTACAAATGATTTTAGCTGCTGGGGGAATAGCTCAGTTGGAAAAGTGCTGTACAAGTGTGAGGACCAAGTTTAATCCACAGCATCCACATTAAAAGCCAAACATGGTGGTATGTGCTTATCATCCAATTCTGGGGAAGTGGAGTCCACAGGCAACCAGGGTATCAGATCTTGGTGCACTACAAGCCAGTAGGAGACCCATTCTCGACAACAAGGAAGTTCACACTTGAGGAATGATGCCAGATTTGAACACGGACCTTTATACATACTTTCACATGACACACATGGCGTGTACACACTCACACCAAATAAAAATAATAATAATAAAAGTGAATTATTTTCTAAGGTACCAATCATGTGCACGTCTAGATAGAGACCAAGATACTGTTATCTGATTTGCTATACTCATCGTCAGAGAACTGCAGAATTGAAGCATGTAAGCTGTGGAAGAAGGTCTCTTTTCTGATACTTCATCGATTTGAGAACGACTAACACGACTGTTGGGAGCAGTCACAGATCACAGTGTCATTTTGTGACGCGGCCTGATTTACTGGGTTTTATGTTTGGCAGGTCTTATTCACATGGGTGACGAGCTGAGGGAAGTGAATGGGATTCCAGTGGAAGACAAGAGGCCTGAGGAAATAATACAGATCTTGGTAAGCCGTCACGTTATTGTAAATTTCAGTGAAAACCAAATTACTGTGCTTCAGGTTTCTCAGTCTGATTTGGAGTTAGCCCTCCAGATTCAGAGTGCTGCCGCACATACTTAGAAACACTTTTGTCCATGTAGCTTCAAGATTTTCATTTACATGAATGTAAGAAGCAGCGATCTGCTGATGTATTTTGAGGGTCAAGTGAGGTTATAATATTTGCAGGGTTTCAGGTCAGTGTGGACAGATGGCCTCTGAACTGCTGTTGGTGAGGCTCTTGCCTCTGCCCCCCTCTCATTAGAGCTAAAAACTTGAGGGAAATTGTCTTAGGCATGGGAATTGTTAAGTCTTAAGTTCAGGTGTAGGAGTAAAATGGAGACTGCCCCTTTATATATGAACATGCAAACCTACAGCACTAGAAAGTTCCCCGAGAACCCAAAACAGATGTCATCATACATGTCCATTAACAAGAAGGTCTGTTGTGGTCTTAGATAATCAGCAAGTACCTGCGGGTCACGGAGTTATGGCTTTAGTTAAATTTGAGTAGACATTCCATCTGTCTTTGAATCTTTCAGTGGACTTGTTTGTGATGTTTATCCCACGACCAGAATAAAACTGACCTGGCTGCGCTGAGTTACCTTTTCTTGGTGTGGATTGCTGTATTCATAACCACAGAAATGATTGCCGTATTCATAACCACAGAAATGATAGCCTCTGGTGTCAGCTTTTTACTTCACCAAATAAGGATACCAACACTTAAATGCCGGGATCTCGTCTGTGTTGTCTGCTCTAGGCACTGACCCTTGTGCTCATTCCAAGCCTGGTTCACATGTTTCTGTTTTGATGTAGCTTAACATGGAAGGCTGTAGATGTATTGATACCTTAAGTGCACAGGACGTAAAAGTGTAAAAATGGTCTTTAAGTGACTGGACATACTTCAGAGCTTTCTCGTGTTTCTGGAATTTCTACAAACATACTTGTCTGCTTTCGTCTGAGTAGAATGCTGTACATTCCTAACTGTGTTTAGCTTTCTACCTGTCTGTTTTATTCTCCTCCTGCCTCCAACTCTCTAATGACCCTTTCTTGGATCCCTGATACCAGAGTCAGTCCCAGGGAGCAATTACATTTAAGATAATACCCAGCGCCAAAGAGGAGACGGCTTCCAAGGAAGGCAAGGTAAGTCCTTAAAATACCCTTTGCCATGGGGGACTTAACGTTATTTCTTTTAACTAATACATACCTGCTTTGAAAAGTTGCATGAATACCGACAGCTTCACATTGACCTCTCCTATGTATTCTTCCAGGTGTTTATCAAAGCCCTTTTCGACTACAGTCCGAAGGAGGACAAGGCGATCCCGTGTAAGGAGGCGGGGCTGTCTTTCCGGAAGGGAGACATTCTTCAGATTATGAGCCAGGATGATGTGACATGGTGGCAGGCAAAGCACGAGGGTGACGCCAACCCCAGAGCTGGCCTGATTCCCTCCAAGCCCTTCCAGGAACGGTGAGCCACTGGCACAGCAGAATGACCTTTCTGCAGATGACTTTCCGTTCCCTGCGGAACATCATTCTAGAACTGTTAGGATAAGATGAGCTTCAGACCCGGCCTGCGAATCTATTATCCCTCGGGTTTGGATTCGAAGGTCTGTTTTGTCTAACTCTATGACAAATGACCAAAAGTAATATGACAGTACCAGGTCCTCTTGGGTCGTCGTTGTGAGACAAGCAGACACTAGCACATTAATATCTGAGTGTGTGCTACAGGGAAAGCATATGGTCATTTCAGGAAAGGGGGTAACTTTAAAATTTGAAAAATATCAGATTTAGTTCATTTATAGATCATCTTGTGTTCCTTGAAGATCTTCCTTATGGGTTTTATATTTTGGTGCTATGTTAACCTTGAACCTGTGCTGAAAGTTGATAGGCACATTGACCTTTTCTTCCCCCAGGAGACTGGCTCTGAGACGACCAGAAATAGTAGTCCAGCCTCTGAAACTTTCCAACAGGAAATCATGTAAGTTTGTTCATATGAATGCACGGAAACCTGATCCTGCTGTTGGTTTTTCACTGTTAGAGCAGGTGCTCCAGGGAGGTGCTCTGGGGAGGTCCTCTGGGAGGGAGGGGGTCATATTAGCCTGCAGTAACTCTTGGGCCATCATTTCTCAGAAACCCAACAAAGAAATAATTCACAGTAGGGATAGTAATGTGAATCTTTGCAAGAAAAAAAATATGGTAGTTGTTCATTGTGATGTGCGACTCACTGTTGGAGACAGTCATCAGTAATGCTGACCCTTAGAGACTGACTAAATAGAGCCTACAGTACAACTATGGCTTTTGTTTCTTTCTTTCTTCATTTTTTTCCCCAAGCCAGAAGGTTTGGGGTAAGTATTTCTCATTAAAAATTGGGGACAAACAAAATAAAACTATTGTTTTCCTGGGCACAAAAGCATTTGTGCCTAAGAGCAGTCATGCTCTTAAAAAAAATAGAGATTACATGTTAAAAGGTGAAATGAACAAGTAAATGGCCCTGAAACCTTATACCAACATCTGTTTTTAGTGTTGTTGCATTTTTCACATCTCCTGTTATTTCCTTTAGTTTGCAGACACATACAGCTCAGTAATCATGCAGTAAGAAAGCCAAGCTACAAGCCAGTATGGGCATGCAGTGCTGAATCAAAAGCCTGCTTGCTTTTGCTGTGTTCAGCCTGGGTGGGAGGAAGGTACTCTTGTAATGCATGTGGAGTTCTGAAATGTCAGAAGGTCTAAGGCTTAACGGTGCATTGTTTCTAAGTGTGGTAACTTTCCATTGTTAGCTCATCCAGCTTCAAGGAACTGAGCCTGGATATTGGATGAGAGTTTGCACACTCGGAATATATTTTGGTGCTTGTTAGGTGAGATATGCCACTAAACAGTGAAGGAAATGAGACTACACTCAAATTTGAAAATTTACTCTGCTTTCAACTATATAGACAGCTTGGAGACATATCATTTGAAGTAATTGGGAATTTTCACTTATTTTGAAAATAAGCTAACTGTACATTTCTTTAAAGAACTATCGAGAAGGGATAGCTTTTTAATTACTCTCTCAACTTGGTATAGATGTGTGTGGATTTGAGCGTGTATGGGTGTGAAGGGAGAGTGTTGGTGTAAACATAAATTGTAATGGAGGCTTTTGTCCATTGTTTGGCATTGTTTCATTTTTATGTTAATATTTATTGGATCTGGTAAGTATTTATTCCAAGAGGTATCTTTACCAAATTATCATCTTGATTTGTTTGTTTGGTTGGTTGATTTTGTCTTACCTCTTGAGTTCCATTCAAATACTCGGGGAGCATAGCTGTGGTAGAGTGCTCGCCCAGCACGGCCCGGGCATCCTGTCCCAGCACTGCAAAACGAGAGAAGAGGCAGAAGTGAGCGGACTGGCTCTTCCCGCTCTTTAGCTCTCTTCCTTCTCCTCCCCTCTCCTTCTTAGATTCTTAGTTCTTGGGTTTTTGAGACAAGGTCTCAAAGTGTGTCCCAGTGCAGCGTCGACCTCATGGGCTTTCTGTCTCGACTTCCTCAGTGCTGAAATTAAGGCCAGTGCCTCACATTTTCCTCCTTTTATACCTTGATTTTCATTCACTAAGAGAGGTTACCTGCTTATTCATAGTTCAAGTAAACCTGCCCAAGATTATCCAAATAAACCACCAGCACATATTTAAAAATAGGATTGCTCAGACAGAGTTGGTTTCTGTGAAACTTGAAAGCCAGTATCTTTTACTCTCAGAGATTGAAGTTCTGTTTGAAATTCCTGTGGCCATTGTCTACAGAAACGGTTGTGCTAGCTCTGGATGTTACAGTAACATTTAAAAGCATGTTAACCTCTGTATTATTCTTTTTTTGTCTGTGTAGCATTTTGTAAGGACTTCCTGACTCGAATGCTGAGTACAGTTTTAGGATGAGAAACCCTCATTGTCACAACCTTCCCCGCATTACAGGACAGTTCTAGGAAGAAAAATAGAAAGTTGATAGAAATGATGTTCAGTGCTTGAAAGAAAGTAATTGACGGGGCTGGAGAGATGGAGCAGTGGTTATGAGCATGCTCTGCTCTTGAAGAGGACCAGATTTGGTTCTGAGCACCCTCAGCATGTAGCTTACAACTGCCTCTTACTCTAGCATCAGGGGATCCAACACCTTCTTCTGATCACCTTGGGCACCCACATACATGTACACAGACATGCACACATACAATAATAGATCTTTTTTTAAAAAAGGAATCTTGGAAGTAGTGATTTGTAATTTGATGGAAAAAACATACAATAATGAAACAGAATTTTTGAGATAGGGTCTTATATAGCTCAGACTGGCTTTGAACTCTCTGTGCACCCAAGAATAACCTTGAACTCCTGATCATCCTGTGTCTACTTCCTGAGTGCTGGGATTACAGAATAGTTTATGAAGTGCTGGGATGGAACTCAGGGTGTTTTTTGTATTATAGAACACTCTACTGACTGAGCTATATCCACAGTTTCTAAAATGTTTTGAACTAAAATTTAAGTGTATTTCAGACTCAGGGAATTACAGCATGCACTGACTTGGAAGTACTAAATTTTGCCATGTGATAACTCATTAAATGACTCGATTACCCCTTATCATGATGTGAATGCTTGTGTCTGTGTAATTTTACTCCTTATTTGATTCCTAAGTGCATCATCACAACTAGAAAAAAGAGTTCATAGAAGATAATTCTAGAATATCAACATAGAACACAAAGAAAGACAAATTCTAGTTACGTTACCTTTGTGTTTGTCTTTGTGCTAGAGTACTTGTTCTTAGCTCCAATGAAAATGAAACCAAGGAGACACTAATGAGCGCTCCAGACTTTGAAACTATTGGGTTTTTTTTGTGCAAAACTCTGAGTGTATGTGTGGGTGGCATTCATCCTTGACGGTGGATCCATAGCTCTCCTTAAGGACCAAGACATCTCAATATTTATCCAGAAAGCAGGTGTCTCAAACAGGAGTGTTTGCCTCTAAACCATTCCTGAAAACTAAGACAGAACTCTTGCAATGAAAGTATTCTTTTTGTTTATTTGTTTGTTTTTGTTTTTTGTTTTTCGAGACAGGGTTTCTCAGTGTAGCTTTGTGCCTGTCCTGGAACTCACTCTGTAGCCCAGGCTGGCCTCAAACTCACAGAGATCCACCTGGCTCTGCCTCCCAAGTGCTGGGATTAAAGACGTGCACCTATTCTTAAACCTGGGAGTTTGACACGGAGATCAATCCCCTCTTCTCTCTTTGTCCCCCCCCCATTTTGAAAAATTATACAGCAAAAAACAAAACTATAATAGAAAACATTTCCCACTGTTTTCACATAGTGACTCTGTACTGGTGACACGGATAGAGGACAGAGGTAGGTGTCTGATAGGCCTCCTTTGATAATGACCAGCTTTGGGTTAGTATATCAAAGAGGCAGCTGCTTAAGTCCTGGGTCTGGGGTAGTGTCTCCAGGAGCACATGGGAGTGGTTGATGGTGAAGACTTGGCAACTTGTAATTCTTATGTTGCCATAATTGTGCTTCATTTGCATGTATAAGAATATTAGATTTACTTCATTTACTCACATGCACACTCCATGCCATGAATGGAACCCAGGACCTTGTGTGTGCTAGCAAGTGTTCTATCATGAACTATATCCTAGTACCTCAATTAGCTTGTAAGAAAGACATATACATTTCTTTATTTGAAATACTATCCCTTTTCTGTTGAAATACAGACATCTTCCTAATTGTATCCAGATATAGTCTATATTTAAATTCAGTACTTATGGCCTTCAGAAAGGATGGGTAGGGAAACCTCTTTTTCACATAGATTATTTCACAGCAGAATATCAAAGTATGATTTCTATTTTTAGTATTTAATTTTCCTTTTCAGTTATCAAAGTGTAAATACCTCAACATTTTTCATACAGCAAACTGAATAATATTAATTTAAATTCTTTAAAAATAGCTCTGTGGAATTCTTGGCATTAGATAAAGAAATGTGCAAATTTTTTGATATTTTAAAACATAAAATCACAGAACACTTCACTTTAACCAATTATGATTTGGGGTTTATAGACACAAAAGGAAAGGCTTAAATTCAGACAAAGAGCATTCATCAGAAGCAGGTAGGACTTGCTCATTATGGATCGACAAACATAATATCCAGTGAAATAGTTTCAACACTGAGTAAAACAATGTCATTTTCTGTATGTGGTGCCTGCATTTCAGATTCTGCATGCTGTCGCAATAAACTATTTCTAGTTGAGTACACGCCTTCCTAATGCCGTCTCCAGTGTATTTAGTGTTTGCACATGTTATATCAATTTAGAAACAGATCGTTTATGCTGTTAAAAATTTTTGTATATCTAAAACTTTGTCAAGCATTTTCTTAATGTTTGTAGCATTTAGAGTGAACAGAAACACAGAGAGTTTCGTGTCAGGGGCTAGAGAGATTAGTCAGCAGTTGAGTGTGTATTGCACTTGCAGAGACTCCAAGTTCAGTTTCCACACCTTTGTCAGGAAGTCCACAAATTGCCTATATCTCTAGCTTCAGGAAGATCTGACACCCATGACCTCCTCACACCCCTCCATTTACATACCCATACACAGGCACATAAGTTAAAATATTAATTTAAAGACCCTGTGAGTATTTTCCCTTTATGTGAGCTTTCTAATACCTTAACAAATACCTGGGCTGATCAGCTTTATAAGGAGGACAGTTTATTTTGATTCACAGATTTAGAGGGTCCAATCCATAATCATGTGACCTCCTTGATTTTGGCCTGTGGCCAGGAGCCAGTCATGGCTAGGGGTTGCATGTGAAGCCAAAATGTTTATGTCATAGCTTGGGTGTTTAAGAGATGAAGAGGAAAGGGGTTCTTTTGTACCCTTCATAGCATATTTCTGGGGGTCAGAAGCCCCTCCCACTAGATCTCTTTATAAAGCTTTCACTTCCTCCCATAGCTTGGCACTATATACCTTTGGCAACCTGGGTCCTAGCTATAACACCCTGATCTTCAGTGATACTGTTGGGAAGATTCCACAGGTCAGGGCTTTGTGAGAAGAGGTGCTGATGAGCTAGGCTGTCAATTTTACATCCAGTTGTTCACATGATTCCGACTTAGTAAGTTCTCTGTCTAGCTGATGGTGTCACTTCTGAAACAGTCTTGGGGAAGATTCTTCTAGTTTGAAGGGTTCCAAGCCATGCTATCTTTTGCAGTTCCTCCTGGAGACCCAGTGGCATGTTAGGAAGAGTCTGCTCACGGTTAGGGGTCTGATCTGTAGTCATGGATTAGTCACACTACAGTCAGAGGGCTGAGGAGACTTAGGAAAGCAGGTGCCCCCTTGCTAACAGAATAGAAGCTGACTGCAGCTCTGCCGTGCACAGCTCATGGCATCTTCTCCTCCAGCATCCCCAGTCCATCCTCTGGTTTCCTTGGTAGCCATTCCTCTGTGGTTTTATAGCCTCTGTGTCCTGTTCTCCAGTGCTTGAGGCCAGTGAGCCATAGAATCCTGATAACATGGGAGCAGGAGCTAACCTTTCCAAGCCCTCCTGGGAAGCACACGGGGCTGTTGAAGCTACAGGAAAAGGGCAAGAGGAAGTGTTGGCAGTGATGGCAATGTACAGGTGACATGGAGGAAACAGGGAACTATCCTCCACTGGTGGGTTTTCTAGCTCATCTTGAATAATTGCAGAATGGTTCTGATATGAAGGTTTGGCATTTGTGCTTAAACACATGTGGTCAGGCTTCTGGGTCCACAGCCTTTGTATTTCACTACATGGGTGTGTTTCCGTCTGTATATTGGGGCTAGTAGTCCTATCCTCATGGAATTGTTGGAATGTTAAATAGCTTACCCCAGCTTTCTTCTGAGATCAACACTTTGTACATTTTTCCTTGTTTTTATAACCTTGCAATTCTAGTGGAATCCTTTGCCTTTTCCACGTGAGATTCATTAAGCACAGACTTCCTGTTGGATGTGTGTCTCTAATTTTACTATGCTTAAAAAAAAATCATAGCATCCTCCCCAATAACTGTATGGAGAAACAATCTTCTGAATTCATTCAGCATGTGGATTTATGACCTCTTATTGGAATATGAAATAAGCACACTATATGTAATATAAAACGTTCATTGTGGGTTGATTATTGGCATTCCCAGTTTTTGTTTACCTCTGTGGCCTTAATCATCTGATCACCATGATGCTGAGTCCTTAACCAGGGGTGTAAGGTTCATCTTATTCTATTATTCCTGTTAAAAGACATATGCAAGATTTAGCAATCTACTTTACAATCCAGTACATGAGATTTTTACAGTGATAGATTTTTGTTGTTATATGTGTTTGTTTGGTGAGATAGGGTCTTGGTATCTAGCCCTGGTACTCACTCTACTGCCCAGGCTGGCCTCAAGCTCCCAGCAATCCTCCTACCTCAGCTAATGAGTGCTGGATTACACGTGTGTTTTACCTTGCACAGCACAGTGATTCTCAAGTCATTTTGCATGGCCTCAATGTCTGGTGTTGCTAACTGATCATGCAGTTTATTCTTTGTTTTTTGATCATTTGTTTCAGATGCACTTAGCATGTCGGAGCTAGTGAGAAATATGCATAAATCCTAATTTGAGTAGCTCATAGTATGAGCCTGAATAATAATCTTTGCTTATCATATTTGCTAACAGTGGTCATGTAGAACTGGCCCAGCGGTATTCGCCTTCCTGATCCATTGCATCTGGCTGCTGTTCTGTAGCTGTGGGAGGTTTTCATTACCCCTGTTCACTCTATATGGCCAGGCCGTGAAGAATGTTCCACCTTGAGTCAGGGTGGGATTTTGCTAAGGGTATGTTGCCAATACATTTCCCATTCCTTACTGGAGAGACGTCTCCTAGCCAGCCTTTTAAGTTGCTATCTTATCAATAATTCAAGAATAAAGGATTCTTTTTAAAAATCCTTTTCATTGTGGTTCTTCAAAAATTAAGACAAGCCTGGGCATGTGGCACATGCCTGTAGTCCCAAAACTTGGGAGGCAGAGAAAGCAGGACCCTTACAAGTTCAAGATTATCTTGCTCTGCCTAGTGAGTTCCAGGGCTACACAGCAAGACTCCATCTTAAAAAAGTTAAATAAACAAAACTTCCATATAATCCAGCCGTACTATTTGTTGGGCAGATATCTAAAAGGATGAAAGGCTATGCCAGCAAGGTGACTCAGTTGGTAAAGGGCTTGCTATGTAAGCCCGACAACCTGAGTCCAATCCCAGAACCCACAGAAAAGTAGGAGAGGACCAACTCCAAGGAGTTGTCCTCTGATCTCCACTTGTGTGCTGTGGCACACACACACACACACACACACACACACACACACACACACACACACACACACAATAATAATAATAATAATAATAATAATAATAATAATAATAATAAATAAAAATTATTTTTGAAAGAATAATACGTAGAGATAACTGTATACCCATGTTGATTATGGTACTATTTGTGGCAGCCAAGTTATAGATTCAGTCTGGATACCCATCAACAAATGAATGGGAAAAGAAAGTGGGATGTGTTATGAAGGTTTTTACTAAGTCATAAAGAAGCATAAAATATCATTTGCTGGAAATGGATAAATAGCATATCACAGTGTTAAGTGAGATAAACTACTTCACAAAAACAAATACAGCATGTATTTTCTCAGATGGAAGTTAGGAAAAAACAAAAAGATAAGAAACTAAGAGGGGAAGGAGAGTATGAGAGATGTGGAAGAGTACAAGGTAAAGATGGACAGGAAGGAATGGAGGGAGGAGGTGAGCATAATTGCGTTACAGGCCAGCCAGGGCTATACAGTGATATGTCTCAAGTTAAAAAAAAGTTAAAATATCTTCCATGAAATAATATATGTGATAATTGACTTGTCAGGACGGTGTTGAAATTACAGAACACTTAACCTGTCCAGGGCAAACATGCTTGTTTCTAAGATCCATTCTTCATTTGATTGATTACTCTTCATGAAGCTTTTTTCACCATATTGAACAGGTTGATTTATGTACCAACCAATCTATTAAAAAAAATGAAATTCCCTTATTCAAGGGAATTTTGAGTAAAAATGTTGACCTTTTTTTTTTCTAGTTATTTTTTCCCATTGGGCTGCTGACTACAGCTCTGTGACCACCCAGTGTCTTTGCTAAAATGTATACATTCTGTATATGCAGGCTGCAGCACTGTCTACTATTGCAATGTTTAAATGTATGTATTTTCCCTCCTTTGGCTTTTCTAAGACGAGGAATCAGTTGAATGTGGTAGGTGGATTTTATTTGAGTTGTTTTGATTTGGATCTTTCTACTTCCATTGCATTTCCTGTCGGTTTAACCATCTTCTTTTTCATTCTCTTTATGCTTCTCAGAGGAAATTAAAGGTACATGTATACAATTTCCCTGTGTGGCTAACAGTTTTATTTAGTGAATATTAGTGTAGGATTGAATCAGATATGTCAAGCAGTTGTGACAGAGTGCTCTTTATGAGTACAAACTTCCATTTTTCAGTATCAAAAATCATGGTTGGACTTTGTTTTGGAAAGAGATTTAGTGGTTTTTTTTTCCTTCATGTAGAAGAACTAGCTAACATATAATCACAGTTTACACAGTGTGCTTACATCTCTGTCACTAGCCTTAAGTAAAGGTAAATGGAAAAAGCAGTGTTTTTAATGCTATTGTGTGGTGACAGGCAGGTGCTCTGGCCCTCTCAGAGCCTAGGTGTCTGCTTGGTCTATTCCAGGGTGTGTTTGTGTGACTGTTCTGGGACAAACAACAACTACTTCACTGCTTTAAGACAAGTGTAGGGAGGAAGTCACCTAATTCCCCCAAACAGTAACACAATGTTTAATTTTAAATGTTTTATTTGTTCTATGTTTTTAATGAAACTAGAATGTTATTCTTCTCTCCCTTCCCAACTTGGGATCAGTACCTGTCAGCAAGGGTGTATTCTAGTCTCACCTTTCTGTCTACTCCAGCCAGCCAAAGTAAATGCTCTATTTTACATATTATCAAAGAGCTGATTTATGAAAGTACATTTACTTTGGGAGTCAACTGGCGTAATTTTCTTTACTGTGAAAATATAAACATTTCAGATAATTTAAAAATCATTTTCTTTGGAACTGCATCAAGGAACCTCTGAAGAAGGTTGAAAGGAAAAAAAAAAAAAACAACCCTGCATGAGGTCTCAAGACACCTGAACTTAAATTGAAAACAAAATGTTTTCTAAGAATGCCATCGTCAGGGCTGCTCCATGCTGTGCATTCCATGATTGTTTCCAGTAATGGACTTTTGGCATCTGTGGCTGGGCTCCTAACCATTCTGCTTTGTCTCCTGACTTCTGTTCTGTTGGCTTTTACATTCTACCCAGAAGATGCTGGATATGATGGTAACAGCAGCGGAACCTACATAGGTGAGCAATTGGCTGTAGAAGAAGATTTCTTTGCTTTCTGTTGCTTTCTTCAACGTAATTACATTATTCCCTTTAAATTAGCATGTTTGTGTGAGCATGCTCCAACACTTAGGCAAGCAGGAACCTTGTATTACAGGCTTGGCGGGCTGGATACAGAGGATTCTACAGTGCGCTGTAGGTATTATGCCGGGAGCGTTCCATACAGCTTTGTAAATGATTATATGCTTTTTGATAGAGGATGAGCACACACACTGATGGTGTTAATAATAATTTTTCTCAGTGCCGGTTTCTGGACTTTTCTAAACAGTTGAGTTCACTGGGATTGTTCAAAGCTCTGAATAAATTTCTTCCTCTCAAATCACTTCTTCCATACATCTTCTTATGATATGTTATTTTCACCCCATAAATAACACAAATACAGTTAAGCCTTATGATTATTTTCTAATGTATGGCTTAAGAAATGCTTTCTAGTTTAGAGATGCTGGGGGATGTTATAAACAGAAGCAAAGATGTCTAGAAATCATTAAAGGCAGCAAGATGGTCTTCCTCTGCATTTCACTTCCAGCCTTTCCTACCCTTGCTATGTTTAGCCAACAAATTCTGTGCTCAGCAAGGGGGTGGTGCTGTGGAAACACAGGGCTGAGCATCTGCCTTTCAGCCTTCTTTTAAGATTAACATTCTCATGTGTGGTGATAGGATCTCTTGGTTACTGAGGAATTCAGGCGGATACAGTACTAGGTATTTGGTGTCTATATCATCTCCAATACATTGAGGTTGGGATATTTATCCATTCTATGACAATTAGACTAAGGCCTGGGAAGTATATGGTGTTCACCTAAGAACCAAAAGATACAATTCCTGCTTCTGGATTCATCCCACTTCTGTATAAAGACAACAACTTTAGTCTGCTTCCCTGCAGCTGCTCTTTGGGTTTTGGTTTTGTAAAACATACCAGAAATTCTAAAACACATGGCATTCCCATTTCTCATACTTAAGGTCTCATATCATCAACCATCACATGAATTTACAGAAAAGCCTAAGATTTGGGCCACCAGAGAGAGAGGGGTTCTGCCTTCATAACAGAACACCATTCTGCCTTTTCAGAGAGGTGTGATGTGCCCACTGCTCTGTGGCCTAGCACCTGCCCTTTCATCCCCTGAAGTCCCCAACAGTTTCACACAACAAGCCCTTAGGCCTGTGAATCGGAAGTCAGTTCCATGGTTCTGCCCAGGCTCAGCTTGGTGGGTCTTTGCAGTCTGGTGACTGGGGTCTGTCTGATTTGTGGGGAGTTTAACCAAGTGAGCTCGTGTGTGTGTGTGTGTGTGTGTGTGTGTGTGTGTGTGTGTGTGTGTGTGTGTGTGTGTGTCTGTGTGTGTGTCTGTGTGTCTGTCTGTGTGTCTGTGTGCATGCACACATGTTGAAAGCCTGAGGTCAATGTTAAGTATCTTCCTTAATCATGCTCTAACTTATTTTTTGAGACAGGATTTCTCACTAAACATGGAGCTCACTGATTTAGCGTTAGCTGGCTACCAAGACTCAGAGACATGCCTGCTCCCACCACTTTGTACGTGCATTCTGCCATGTCTGGCTTTTAACATAGGTGCTGAGGATCCTAACTCAGGTTCTCTACCTACTGAGCCATTTCCCAAGCCCCTTGTGTGGTCTTTCATGCCCCAGGAAGCTTGCCAAACAGGGTTCTCAGGGTTCCTGACTTCAGCAAGAGAAAGCAGCACTCTAGGAGTGCTCCTGCAATTAACGTCTTTTAGGGACTAGAATAGGTCTCCTGGCCAAGGTAGAGTCAGTGTGGGAGGACGGCCCAAGAGCATGGGCACTGGGAGTCATGAAGAGATGCATAGCTATTACCATGTGTTTTTTTCTAAAAGAAAAGACAAAAAGGTCGCTGTCCCTGTTGGGAGGTAAATAAATGATATAATTATTGGAGCATAAGATGTAAAATGAACCAATTGACAGTGAGAAGGGGCAACTGTGTATAACCTATAAGATGGTAGTAAGTACTGAGAAGAAAACACAGTAATGAAGGAGGGTCTCCCTGAAAAGATCTGGAAAGCTGAGGCGGGACATTGTGGGGAATAAGCATCTAAGTATGGAATAAGCATGGTGCAAGACCCTAAGCAGGCTATCTGCTGCACCTGAAGGAGCCTGTGCAAGAGGGCCTGCGTGGCCAGAACAGAGTGAACAGAAGCTAAGTCTGTGCAACAACACATGACAAATGTAGGAAGCACTTAGCTGTTATTTTATAGAAGGCAGGAAGTCATCAACAGGTCCTGAGCAAGGCAGTAACATGATCTGACCCTCATTTTAAGGGTCACATTGGCTGATGGGGTGAGGATCTGGAAGGGAACAGGGCAGAAGCAGAGAAACAGTGTAGTAATTCAGGTAAGAAATGATGTGCGTTGAACAAAGATATTTCCACTGGAGGTAGAAGGAAGATCAGGTTCTGGACACATAGGAGAGCTGAGTACGAGTATATGGTTTGGGTCATTGTAACTACAGGAATGGAGTTAAATGTTTACTGAGATAGGCAAGATTGGAGGAGTGATCTGCCCGAGTATTCTGTTTTGGACACAGTGTGGTGAAGACATCCATGTGTAATTGGCAGTGGGACAAATATGGGAGGAGCAGGCTTTGAGGCCATCAGTCTGGAAGCTGTGACTATCAGAGTCTATTAAAACGATGAAGCTAGATGAGGCAGCCAGAGACTGAGTGGTGGTCCTGATGAGAGGAGCGCCCCAAGGCAAGCAGGATAGAAACCAGGAGAGACCAGTGGAAGTCAAGGAGGAAGGGATGATTTTACCAAGAATCAGGAGGGAGGGTGAGAACAGCGTGAGCTGTGTGGAATGCTCTTGCCAAAGTCCAGCAGCTTTTCACAATGCAAACGTATAAACGAAGACTGGAAGGTCTTCAGCATGACGCGGGACTCTCGGACAGTCTATGGGCAATGTTCTTAGTCTTTGTTCTGTCAAGGCTTATTAGAGACAACTCACCCACATAGTGGTCTGCTTTACTACTACTCCCAGGACAGATACTTGGAATATTATTATTTTGTACCAAGAGGAATTTCCACAATAATCTTGGCCAGAGAGCTGAGCAATATGGGGCGGGGGGGAGACTGTTGCCTTCTGTGATGTGTGTGTGTGTGTGTGTGTGTGTGTGTGTGTGTGTGTGTGTGTGTGTGTGTGTGTGTGTGTGTTTTCATTTTTGGCTTAAGAATTTTTTTAACCTTCATTTTATGTGTGTGTTCAGTTCTGCCTGCAGGTATGCCTGTGTACCACGTGCATGCAGTGCCCTCAGAGGCCAGAAGAGGGCAACAGATCCCTTGGAACTGGAATTACAAGTGGTTGTGAGCTGCCATGTGGGTGCTGGAAATTGAAGGAGGATCCTCTGAAAAAGCAGCTAGTGCTCTTAACTGCTGAGCCGTCTCTCCAGTCCCTTGTTTTTGGCTTTTTTTTTTTTTTTGAAGCAGGATTGTGCTATTTGTCCAGGCTATCTCAGATTCAAGATCCTCTGGCCTTAGGTTCCTGAGTATTGGGATTATAGTCATGAGTTACACCACTTGGCTTTTCTAATACTTTGGATCTGTCTGCGGTAATTGTTGCTTTGAAGAGAAGAATCCCCTTTGGATTGTTGACCTATTTTCCATGTCCTTTGTTTCTCTAAGAGAAATAATCCAAATGGCCCGAGTTAGCTGGGTGGAACTGGTTCTTAGCATTTCAGGCATTTTGAGTGTCCCTCTAAGGGATCACAACATTCTATGATAAGCCTGTCCCAGCACACACTGCTACTTCCCCAGACACACTGTAGTTAACTTGTTTGGAAGAGCTTTGGCTTGTACAGGATAGGTTTGTGTTCATCCTTGCCAGATCACACATTTATCTGGCTCTGAGACATCTCTGGAAAAACACCTAGGAATTTGGCCTTTCTGTCTGACCTTTTCCAAAGATTAATTAGTAGAGTAGCTGAGGTTGTGGCTTGTTTTAGGACTGTTCCCCTCTGTCATCCACTTCCGTACCCAGAGAAGGAAAAACAGACGTTTTCTACCTTGCGGAAAGGATATCCCTGGACCAGTGTCTTTGATTCCAACATCAGATCATGGTATCGTGTACTGACACAACCCGGGAGAGACATTTGGCTATATTCACTTTCTTTGAAGCATGAAAACCAAGCACAAAGCAGTGTGTGGGTAGCCCCCTAATTTTAAACCCGGATTCACTTTCTGAGAACAGACTGGAAAGATGTCTTAGCAGTTAAGAGTGTGTCCTGCTCTTGGAGAAAACACAGCTTTGGTTCCCAGCTCCCTACTGGGTGTCTCGCAGTCTCTTAGAACTCCAGCTCCAGAGCAGCAGCCACCCTCTTGTGTCTTCTGGCTTCCATCCCTTGAGTGCTGGGATTACAGGTGTGTGCCACCCTACAGCTTGTGCCTTAAACCTTTATTGACTGAGGCTTCACTGGTTGGATTTACTGTGTGATATGATTCTGACTGGCGTGGAACCAGTTTCTTAAAGGTCAGCGTTGTCATCAGTGAAAAAGATTTGGCTATTTTATTAGAAAGCAGGAAGATACTAGATGGACGATCAATGTAAGCTGTTTGTAGTCTGTGTAAACACAGTTTTATAATTATATGAAGATAAACCAATAGAATGCAGCAAAGAGAAATTGTAACACATTTTAAAGTGGAATCCCTGTAAGTCAGGAGCTGCCCATATTAAAGATTGCCTTGGATAGATACATGGTGTATATGTGTATGTATCCTACATGTGTATATGAGCAACATACAGAGATTATCGTTGGTTGGTACATGATGTACATGTGTGTTTGCTACATATTTACACAAATGACTAGAACTAAAGGTTTGAAAAATTCGTTCACTTTGGTGAGCGATGTAGAAGCTGGTGTGTTTGGGCTTTTGTGTTTGTCCCCAGCAGAAGAGCTTTATAAAAACCTATTTCTTTTCTTGCCTGAGCCCAAAATACTCAGTAGGA